GATAAGAACAGAAATCGTGCTCTGGCGGTGCGGCAGCAGCAGAAGGCCCCATTAGCTAATTTGGTGCTACAGGTTAAGAACAGTTTCAGGTTAAGTACGGACCTCCAGAACAAATTAAGTACTTAAACCGAGGTACCACTGTACCGTATTTTTCGCTCCATAAGACGCGCTTTTTTCCCTCCTGAAAAGTAAGGGGAAATGTCTGTGCGCCTTATGGAGCGAATGTGTGGTCGATTGCTGGCTCCCTTTCCAGCCCTGGCCCCTTGCCCAGGCCTCCATTTTTGAATGTTATGCAATGGAGGCTGTTTGTTTCCCCAGCGACATGTGACTGGCTGATTAGATTATCTGTCTGGAAACTGTAGAAAGGGCTCCCTTTACTTTCCTATGGAAGCTGCAGAACTGTGAGTTGAACCCCATAAAAATGGGATTTTCCCCCTTTCAAACTAAGCTCAACAACTTTGAGCTGATCCTCAAAAAAGGGGCTTTTCCCCTTTGCAAAAGAAGCTGCACAACTTTGAACTGGTCCTCAAAAAACTGGGGCTTTCCCCCTTTCCTCCTGTAAAAACTAGGTGCGTCTTATGGAGCGAAAAATACGGTAATTGAAAGAGCCTCCTTGCTCTTGCGAGCGAAGGAGGGGAGAAAGAGGCTTTCAAGTTTGTGCATGAGAGATCAGCCATGGGGAATCCTGAGAAAGAGGCAAGCAATCGCGCAGAGGCTGGGTACTTCTTTCCTTTTCTTTAATGGGGCTCCTACTTCGCACCGGTCCTTTAAGTGGTGTCACTTCTTTGCGAGATTGGTTCTTAATAGTTAATCATAGAATTGTAAAGTTGGAAGGGACGCTGAGATTGTCTAGTCCAGTCCACTGTGATGCAGGAATATGCAGCTGCCCCAATACAGGGACCAAACCTGCAACCTTGGCATTATTAATGTTTTATTGTGTTTTTAATATTTGGTTGGGAGCTCTCCAGATTCGCTGGGGCAATGCAGTCAGATGGCGGAATAGAAATAAAATAAAATATAATATAATATAATAAAATGAATAGCGTTCCTAATTAAAAGCAGCTCTGCAGGGTTTCAGTGTGTGAGAACGGACTAATGGGAGGAACAAAAGCATCTCTCTGGCCTAGGCATGGTCCTTAGCTGAGATGTTAGGACACCTGCTTCGCATGCAGAAGGTCCCAGGTTCAGACTCTGGCTCTGAAGGAGTGTCTCCACCCCCATCGTTCAACCCGGACACTGAGGTCCAGCTCCGAGGGCCTTCTGGCGGTTCCCTTGCTGTGAGAAGTGAGGCTACAGGGAACCAGGCAGAGGGCCTTCTCGGTGGTGGCACCTGCCCTGTGGAATGCCCTCCCACCAGATCTCAAAGAGGAAAACAACTGTCAAGCTTTTAGAAGACATCTGAAGGTAGCCATGTTCAGGGAAGCTTTTAATGTTTAATAGGTTATTGTATTTTAATATTCCGTTGGAAGCCTCCCAGAGTGGCTGGAGAAACCCAGCCAGATGGGCAGGATATAAATTATTATTATTATTATTATTATTATTATTATTATCTCTGATCTTGAGCAAGAGGGCAATAAAAGACGTGGCGTTCCCATTACAGTGGTACCTCGGGTTAAGTACTTAATTCGTTCCGGAGGTCCGTACTTAACCTGAAACTGTTCTTAACCTGAAGCACCACTTTAGCTAATAGGGCCTCCTGCTGCCACCGCGCCTCCAGAGCCTGATTTCTGTTCTCATCCTGAAGCAAAGTTCTTAACCTGAAGCACTATTTCTGGGTTAGCAGAGTCTGTAACCTGAAGCGTATGTAACCTGAAGCGTATGTAACCTGAAGCGTATGTAACCTGAAGCGTATGTAACCCGAGGTACCACTGTATACCTAACCATTGGCCATGCTGGCTGTGGCTGATGTTAATTTGGAGTCCAGTAACTTCTGGAGGGCCAAAAGTCCCCTGCCCTTACTCTAACCACTACACCGGGAGCAAGGGCCCTTTTCAGTCTGGCTGACCCGATCCTGAGGTCCTGCGCGGCTGGCAGGCTGCTTTGACGGGTGAGCAGAGCACCCACTTGTCAATCACCTGACATAACCATGACATCAGGCGACCGGCATCCCCAACCTGCAAAGGAAGACCCAAGCACTGCTGATCAATAGGGACCAAGCCTCGCAGACTCAGCTGCGCTCCAGAGTTCTCAGTCAGCACTGTCTTCGACCCCCCCTGTTTTGGGATCGCTGTCTGGAAGATCCAGAATGCAGTGGGGTCCCAACCGGGCTAGGAGTCAGCGCCGATCAGCTGGTCACCAAATTTAAATTTGGCAAATGCAAGCCCCGCTGGCCAAAGCACAATCTGGAGCGCCTGTGTTGGAGAGCAACCGGTGAGGCTGTTTGAGACATTTCTCTCCGCAAAGCTATTGGATTTGCATCACGCCTCCCTCAGGGATGCAACTTTCCTTATTTCACAGCCATCCTCTGGGCCTCCAGAGAAGTACATGATGATGGAGACTGTTTCCGCTTTGAGGGTTGTTTTCCCCCCAGCCTCACAGGACTGTCCTGCAGTACAACGTTGCTAGATGTTCCCAAACTTTTGCTCTTGGTCCTGTCACAAGCACGGCAGGTGAGGAAGCACCTTGATCTACACCTTGAATATTCAGCCACTCATTATTGAGGGGAACTGCATGGAACAGGTCTCCGTGTTTTGATTTCTGGGAATGGAGCTGAGAGATGACCTAACCTGGGTAGAAAACAGCAAAGACCTGATGAAGAGAGCACAGCAGAGGTTATATTTTCTGAGAATCCTCCGGAAAAACAATCTCTCAAAGGACCTGTTGATGGCATTTTACCATTGTACTGTGGAGAGTGTATTAACTTATGGTCTGTGTGTGTGGTTTGGGAGCTGCACGGCCAGGGAAAAAACAATGCTATCCAGGGTTGTAAAGACTGCGGAGAGAATAATTGGGTTCACTCTTCCCACCTTGGATCAAATCTATGCTTCCAGGTGCCATAAGAAAGCTGCAGAGATAGAGCAGGATAGTGCGCACCCCGGAAATGATCTCTTTCAGCTTCTGCCTTCTGGAAGAAGGTACAGGGTTATAAAAACCAGGACTAGCCGCCTGAGAAACAGTTTCTACCCAAATGCGATTTTGGTTTTAAACGCAGTATAAGGAGTCTCTATGGGAGTATATTGTATTTAAAAATGGGGTACCAGAGTTTTTAGGGGGCTAACCAGGTTGGGATAGCTGGATAGCAGGCTTGTTGGTTTTTTAATGTCTTTTCAATTTTGTTGTTCTGTATGGGACAATGACAATAAAGACTATCATATCGTAAGCTTGTTTTCTCCTGGTCCGGAGGGTTGGACCTGAACCAATGGCTTCAAGCTACAAGAAAGGAGATTCCGACGAAACATCAGGAAGAACTTTCTAAAGAAGTGTGCATGCACGAAAGCTTATACCCAGAACCAACTTAGTTGGTCTCTAAGGTGCTACTGGACAATTTTATTTATTTATTTCAACTTTCTGACAGCAAGAGCTGTTTGATAGTGGGACGGTCTCCCTTGGGAGGTTATGGACTCTGCTTCCTTGGGGGGCTTTTAAGCAGAGGTTAGATGTCTACCTGCCACGTATGATCTAGTTGAGATTCCTTCATTGTAGGGGGTTGGACTAGATGACCCTATGGTCCCTTCCAACTCTACAATTCAACAATATTCTACAATACAAACGGCCTTGGCCCAGTAGACCTGAAGGAGCGTCTCCACCCCCATCATTCTGCCTGGACACTGAGGTCCAGCTCCGAGGGCCTTCTGGTGGTTCTCTCCCTGCGAGGTTACAGGGAACCAGGCAGAGGGCCTTCTCGGTGGTGGCGCCCACCCTGTGGAACGCCCTCCCACCATATGTCAAGGAAATAAACAACTCTCTGACTTTTAGAAGACATCTGAAGGCAGCCCTGTTTAGGGAAGTTTTTAATGTTTGATGTTTTATTGTGTTTTTAATATCCTCTTGGAAGCCACCCAGAGTGGCTAGGGAGGCTGGGACACATGGGTGGGGTATAAGTAATCTATTATTATTATTATTATTATTATTATTATTATTATTATTATTATATTCCAATTCTGGTTTCATGTCAGGGTTCGACATAAGGAGCTTGCACTCTAAAATTACATTGGTGCCTCGGGTTAAGTACTTAATTCATTCTGGAGGTCTGTTCTTAACCTGAAACTGTTCTTAACCTGAGGTACCACTTTAGCTAATGGGGCCTCCTGCTGCCGCCGCGCCACTGGAGCACGATTTCTGTTCTCATCCTGAAGCAAATATCCCGAGGTGATATTTCTGGGTTAGTGGAGTCTGTAACCTGAAGCGTGTGTAACCTGAAGCATCTGTAACCTGAAGCGTGTGTAACCTGAAGCATCTGTAACCAGAGGGACCACTGTATCAACACTGGGGAAATCGTCAGTTGAATGGGAAGCAAGGGGAAGAATATGGGGCTGTTTCCAGCATGAGCCTAGGCTTCTTTACATGCGTCGATGCCATACGGGGTGAGCAGAGAGGAAACCTGCTTCCCCTTCTGAATTTCCAGCATATGCCCCTCGCCCCTGCCCCATCCCGAAAGGCAGGCCCCATCCGGAGCACATAGGAGACCTCGTTTAACCTGACCGAGAATGCCACGTGCCTCGTTTGGGAATGGTCACTAGGCGAGTTGCCAGGGAAGCTGACATCAGAGGCCGCATCCCCTATAGATTTATCGCACAGCGTCGGGATCTGTCCCTCGCCTGCAAATGAGGCACGGGCACCCAGAGGAAAGCCCCTGAGGGTGCTTCGCGTCACTGAAGCAGGTTGCCTAGCACCGCTGGGACAGGGGAGGGCCGGCCAGAGAGAGAGAGAGAGAGAGGAAGAGTTTGCAAACAGTGTCATATTTTTCTTCCTACGTCTCGGACGCTTCGAAGAAAGACAGAGAGGCAGGGCTGAAGAACACGGCCGAGGGGAAGGGAGGAGAGGGCAAACCGAGGGTCTCGATGGCTTCGGAGGTGGCCGAGCTGGAGTTGCACTTGGTGCAGGACGTCGAACTGACCCGGTGCATGCGTCTGCGCGTCGAGAGCCTCCAGCAGAGGAATGAGAAACCACAAGACGGGGAGAAGCTGCTGCAAGCCAACGAGTTCGTCTACCGGCTAGACTTCTCCCGCCAGCACGGCCTCCGCTTCCTGCGCTGGAACGTGGTCCTGGAGAAGCCCGGCAAGGTCACCATCATCGGCACCTCCCAGCATTGGACGCCGGACCTCACCAATCTCATGCGCAGGCAGCTTCTGGAGCCTGTGGCCGTCTTCTGGAAGAAGGCGGGCGCCCAGGAGGTCGATTGGAACGAGGCTGATGCTCTGGAGTTCGGGGAGAGGCTGGTGGAGCTGGCCAGGATCCGGAAAGTCATGTATTTCCTCCTGGCGTACACAGACGGCCTGGAACCAGCCCAGCTCAAGTGCTCAGTCGTGTTCAAAGTCTGAGTTTGGCCTCTCTTGCCCTCCCAACCTCCTTAACTTCTCCTGTTTTCTCCCTGCTGCTGTCAACTCTGTGGCTGCTTTCTCATTTTCTAAAACAAAATTGCACCGTGGAGACCGTGCAGTTTATTTCCTCCTGATCGCCACAGGTGCCTGCCTCAATTTGGGAAGTCTGCTTATTTCCTTCTATTTGTTTCTTTGCTTCTCTAACTTGGAAGGCCACGCTTTTTCGACGCGCTTTCAATGTAGGATTCAGAGAAGCAGCTTAGGCGGCAAAGTTTCCTGCCGGGAAATGAGGTGCGTTTTCTGTTTCGAAGCTTTGGGACGGACGGACGCGCACACGGGCGCAGACAGACCGCCGAGTCGAGAAATCCACGCAACGCTGGTGCAAGAAGACCCCTTGGCAATCTCAGAAGGCTACACAGCTGGGCTGGATGAAGCAAGGGCACCCCTGGGTGGTCGACTCCCATCTTGCCCCAATTCTTTACACCGGGAGAGCTGCGCATCTGCACAGCTCTGACTAACCTTCGGAGCAAAGGGTATATCAGTGGAGCCAAGGACCTCATACATGGGACCGTTCGGATTTTATTTTCCTTTTGCCTCTTTTGAAGCAAGCTGGTAGTCCTCATGGGTTCTGGGAGATATAGCTTAAAGTAAGGGGTAAAAAGGGAAGAGTCCAGTGATGAAGACTTGTTGACTTATTTCTTTTCATCTCCCCCCTCCACCGTCACCCCGGCAACCCTCAGTTAGAGCATTTTTATCACATAGAGTGTTATAGATATCTCCGCCCCCCCCTAAAAAACCCCCCACATATACAGTGTTTAGCATGAAGTAGGTGTTGTTGTTTAATCGTGTCCGACTCTTCGTGACCCCCTGGACCAGAGCACGCCAGGCACTCCTGTCTTCCACTGCCTCCCGCAGTTTGGTCAGGCTCATGTTAGTAGCTTCAGGAACACTGTCCAGCCATCTCGTCCTCTGTCGCCCCCCTCTCCTTGTGCCCTCCATCTTTCCCAACATCAGGGTCTTTTCCAGGGAGTCTTCTCTTCTCATGAGGTGGCCAAAGTATTGGAGCCTCAGCTTCAGGATCTGTCCTTCCAGTGAGCACTCAGGGCTGATTTCCTTCAGAATGGATCGGTTTGATCTTCTTGCAGTCCATGGGACTCTCAAGAGTCTCCTCCAGCACCATAATTCAAAAGCATCAATTCTTCGGCGATCAGCCTTCTTTATGGTCCAGCTCTCACTTCCATACATCACTACTGGGAAAACCATAGCTTTAACTGTATGGACCTTTGTTGGTAAGGTGATGTCTCTACTTTTTAAGATGCTGTCTAGGTTTGAAGTAGGTAGCGCTTTGCAAATTGGGAGCCGAGGCTCAGAGAAAAGAACCTGGTTTCCTGGTGATCTGTGGCTGGGGGGGTGAATTAAGTCGTCGTTGTCCCCCCTCCCCCAAGATCACATTTCCCCTCTCCTGTACCCCTAAGAGTAAATTATTCCCTGCCTTTTGGAAACAAGAGAGCCTGCCCCAGTTGCACAAGGTGTATAAAATCTTATAAATGTAAAACTACTTTCTTTTAAAAAAGCATTTGCAGATTGGAGCTGTTGGAACTTACTGGAAATTTATTCTTTAGGCGGGAGGCAGAAATTGAAGCCTGCTGCTATAAAAACCAATATTTCTGTGCGTCTGAGAATCCTTCTGCCAGTGAATCTGGATTTTTATGTATTCATTCATCCATTCCCTTGTGGCTGTATTTATTTTTTATTTGTTTGTTTGTTTCCTTACGGCTGTAGCTCAATCCTCAACTTCTTCAGGTAGAGCTGGGACCGCCTTTATCCCTGACACCTTTGCAGAGTTGCTGCTGCTGCTGCTGCTGCCAGTCCGTGCAGACATTTCTGAGCTAGATGGCTCTGGCTTGCCATGAGGCAGCTTCTTAAGTTCTTAATCTTTGAGACATATTCCCAACCGCCCTGGCCGCAGGTGTTCAGTCGCTCAAAGCTTTTGATAATCCCATTGAAGAAACTGGAATATGAGCCCCTTCCCAGCTGGAGAAACAGAAAATAGCATGTATATTCCGCTCTCATGTTTTTTTTCAAAATATCAAAAGCAAAGATCTTTTGCGGTCCCGCGAGGCCTCAGTGGCAGTTTGTTTTTTCCCCAGCAAGGCTTCCCTGCGCGTGAGCATCCTTCCCCGAAGCCAAATGGAAGCAGATCCTTGCCGCTCTGGTTCCTGTTAGGTTGTGACAAAGTCGTTGCCCCCTTTTTGTGCAGAGGGGGTCGAAGGGAAGTAAAGAAAAAGAGTGGAACAGAGGAGTTATTAGGGGTAACCCGTGGGAACAGGGCCCCAGATCTCCTGCCCCCCTTTAAAAAAATTATAATTATAAACTCGGGAGGCTGCCTTGTCGTAGAATTATAGCGTCGGGACAGCTCTTACCATCAGAAAGTTCTTTCTGATGTTGAGTTGGAATCTCCTTGTAATTTGAATCCACGGGTCTGGGTTCGAGTCCTGCTGTCCGCAGCAGCAGAAAACAAGCTCGCTCCATCCTTCAGGTATTTGAAGATGGCTATCGTATCACCTCTCAGTCTCCTCTTATCTGGGCCAAACCTACCCACCTCCTTCGACCGTTCCTCATCAGGCTTGGTTTCCAGACCCTTGATCATCTTGGTCTTTGCACACTTTCCAGCTTGCCAACATCATTCTTAACAGTGGTGTGTGTCCAGTTAACTAGGGGGACTAAGCTCGGCCCTTAAATGTTCCCGGCAAATTAGAGTATGAAAGTATTAAAACCTGCCACCTCCTTCCCCAAACCTGGGAAGCTTCTGCCTGGCTTAGGGAAGGAGGCACGATGCTCTTGCATGCAATGGCAGGACGTCAAAAATGTCACATGTGCAATGTCGCCCCCCCCCAAAAGCAGGACAAGTGGTCAGCGATGATGGGAGTTGTAGTCTCAAAACATCTGGAGGGCCGAGGTTAGGGAAACCTGAATTAACACATGCAAATTTTACGCCATGGACCTGCATCCCAAGTGCTTTGTTTGTTTGTTTGTTTGCAAAGTCTCTAGGGGCGGAGTCTTCCAAGGCCAGGGGGAGGAGCCTAAAACTTTCTCCTTGCTTTTTGTGTTTGTGCAAAAGTTGTCCTGAATGGGCTTCCGTAGCACCATGTCCTTGGTCGCCTTGTGGTGCCACGAGATGCGACTGCAACATGTGCACCTGGATGTATATATTCCTTTTTTTGGTGCTGTGGCTTTGGGGGGGGGGGGCAGGCCATTAGCTCAACACCTCCCTTCGCAGAGTGTGGGCCCTCCTAGATCTATGGCTTTCTGCAGCTCAGCTGCTGATTTCAATTTCTGCCAGTGTCTCTGTGAGCTTCTAGATCGCTTTATAAGTAATGGCGTTCATGAACCAGTGGCTTTCGTGTGCCTTGAAAAGTTCCGCAGTCTTCGGCCGGCCATCGTTTGCTTGCTCGAGAAACAATTAGCCCTTTTGGGAAATAATTGGAAAGGAAATGTGCCGTGAAGCTTGGCTCTGCTAACTTCTGTGCTGAGGGTTCATCAGAAGGTGGTTTGCCTCGGGGTCAGAAACACAATCCTGCCTCAAATGACACAACAATCTATGGCAATTGCACTTTTTTAATATATCGGCATTGCATTTAAATGCGCCCATCTGCAATGTAGCAGCCTGTACTCTCTAAGCTTCCTTCAGAATAACCTTTTTGTGTAAAAAAAATATTGTAATAAAAGATAAATATATATATATTATTATTTGGAACACAATTTCCAGCTCGTGATCTTTTTTTAAGGGTGAGGTCCTCTTTTGACTGTCCCTTGTTCGTTTCAGAATATCGGGGTGCTGCCTTTGCATTTAAAAACGACACCGGAATTGTGCCGTGGTTGAAAAACAACCGTAGCTATAACAACTACAGTGGTACCTCTGGTTACGTACTTAATTCGTTCCGGATGGTCCATACTTAACCTGAAACTGTTCTTAACCTGAAGCACCACTTTAGCTAATGGGGCCTCCCGCTGCTGCCACACCACTGCAGCGCGATTTCTGTTCTCATCCTGAAGCAAAGTTCTTAACCCAAGGTACTATTTCTGGGTTAGCGAAGTCTGTAACCTGAAGCGTCTGTAACCCGAGGCACCACTGTATAGGTTTTCTTAGTATATCGTAGAGTAGGAAGGGAGGAGATTCACTCGAGGCTGCTGTTCATCCCTGAAAGATGTCCTGTCCAGCCTCTGCTTAAACCTTGGGTAGCAGAGACCTGACCACAACCTTCCAAGCACCGGTCTCTTCCCCTGTCAATCAACTTTTGCCACTGGGAAGTTTCTTAACTGAACGCTGCCCTTCCATTCTAGCTGTTCTCTCTGGAGGAACGGAAGGCAGATCTGCCCCATTGCCTGTGGGGCATCCTGTCAGGCAGGGCCGGATTTAGGTTTGATGAGGCCCTCAGCTACTGAAAGTAACAGGGCCCTTTATATGTCCAGCTGTCCTTTGTCAGCAACAAATGGTTGCTGTTTTTTGTGTTGAATGGGTGGCGCTGTGGGTTAAACCACAGAGCCTAGGACTTGCTGATCAGAAGGTCGGCGGTTCGAATCCCTGCGACGGGGTGAGCTCCCGTTGCTCAGTCCCAGCTCCTGCCAACCTAGCAGTTCGAAAGCACGTCAAAGTGCAAGTAGATAAATAGGTACCGCTCCGGCGGGAAGGTAAACGGCGTTTCCATGCACTGCTCTGGTTCGCCAGAAGCGGCTTAGTCATGCTGGCCACATGTCCCGGAAGCTGTACGCCAGCTCCCTCGGCCAATGAAGCGAGATGAGCGCCGCAACCCCAGAGTCGTCTGCGATTGGACCTAATGGTCAGGGTTCCCTTTACCTTACCTTTATATGCTAGATGGTAATTTATGGACCTAATAGGTATCTCAAGCCATTTGCACATGTTGACATGCAACCAGTCCATGCAGAATGGAGGCACTCTATATATAAAAAAGGTAAAGGACCCCTGACCATTAAGTCTA